GTCTATATATTATTTAAATATCTTCGTGTGTAAATCTATATTCATACTATAATTTGTCTAAATAAGATAGATTAGTTTGACAATTCATTTTAAATTTAGTAGTGATGGGTTGTGTAAAAACAGTCATGAATCTTATCGATTTTCGATTTTTTATACGAGTTTGAATCGATAGATTCATAGTTATAACTTATGAATTTAAGAAAACACTGTTTTCTTTTTCAATTTAATAATGACCATAACAATTAATGAGTAAATAAATGTTTATTACTACTACAGCCGTACGTAATCGAATTGTCATCGCTAAATTCTCTACACTATAATCAATACTGAAATTGTCCTCTAATTTAATTAGTTTACTCGTATAAGAAAATAATAATTTTAGTCGAGTACTATAATTATTTAAACCGAATATCGATAGTTCATAACTGCGTGTTTGTTTCGTCACTACGCTACCTGTCTATTAAGTACGGCATTTGCCTTCATACAAATTGAATTCGACACTTCATATGCGTCATTTATCAAACTAATCTTTCTTATTTAGGCAAACTATAAATATCTTACTAAATATCGATATAAAGTATGCTGGCAGTTTAAATTTATTTATCTGTAAGAGAACAAAAAAGACTTAAACCCTTCCAGACCGGATTAATATTTTACAACCGATTCAGCATCTTTGAATCGAATTAGTGCCCAACGAGTCGGAACAACGTCGACATTTCGTTCAACCCTTTTTGTCTCGCATTTCTACTGCGATTTAAAAAAGTTTATTCGAAATTATTGTTGTTTTCTATTTTATTATTTCGCTTAAAACTTCAAGAAGCGAGAGTCATCATCATCACCTAGGAGCTCGGAGCCTACCCTAAAGGAGTGACTAGGCCATAGTCAACCACGCTGGCCAGGTGTGTGTTGGTTGACTTCACACATATCTTTGAATTTCTTCGCCGATACGTGCAGGCATCACGATGTTTTCCTTCACCGTAAGAACCTCGGGTAAATTATGTATATGTACATATAAAATTCGAAAAATAGAAAATCACATTGGTACATGGCGGGATTCGAACACAAGACCTGTAGATTACAATTCAAGTGTTTAAACCACTGAGCCACCGAAACTCTTTTCAAGCGAGAGTACCATTTCCAAAAGGTTCAACAAATCTGTAGGTCTTCTGATATTGAATATGTCTGGGTGACGTTGGCTCTTGGAGTTTGCCCACTTCTCTAATAAGAAAACTTATGAAAATCAATTTCATTGTCGACCTTCTTTAAAAAACCAACGTTTATATGCTTGACCACTCTTCTAATAACAATCGCATTCAAATAATTAAATAGTCACAAAGTCTAGTAATCTACACTTAAAGAGTGTTTAAGTAACAATTTACACTAGTTAATTTGTTAAAATAAATCTTCAGTGGGCATTCAGCCCGCGTGTAAAAATTTCTAATCTAAACATTACCATGTTTTTTTTTTCAATATGTCCAGTGTTCAAAAAACCTAACAAAGTTCATTCATTTTCAATAACAATTATAGGCCAAAGCCCACGTAAATTCCCTAAGCCAAAGATTACTTCTAACAAACTATCCAATATGCAGTTACATTCGCTCGCTGCATATTCCCTGCAAATGAGTATTTAATGGTAGAAGTTAGTGGAGGCAACTTACTCTCAACGACATAGAATACTATACTATGCTAACATGTAGTTATTTATTTAGCAACTTTCGATGGCACGGAATTAAAAAATACTAACTAATCCTTTATATTCTTTCAGAATATTCTTTAACAGTGGTAGAGCCCGCTTTAACATCTTCGCACGAATGGGTCGGCTCGCCCCCAGCAATACCACGACCACACAGAAAACAGGCGTGAAGTGGAAGCAATTCCCCGTTTCGTCTGATGAGTGTGGAGTCGGAGGTCAAATTTTAGTCCCTTTCCCTTTCCACTCTATTCTTCAGAGGAAAGGATGGGAAGTAAAATTGGATTTGACGGTGGAGGAGACGCATAGGAAGGGTAAATGTCCTCTTTATGTGCGTCTCCTCCTCCGTCCATTAAGGGTAGGCAGCGGTCGCTTTCTACTTCGGTGGATTCAGGTGTTCACCTTATATTATAAAAAAAAGATTATTTTATACGTATGTGCCAACTTTAGACTTCGATTAAACCGTTTTAAAGATTAGTAACAAACATCTACAATCCATTTAAACATTCGCATTTATAAAAGTAAAATTTGTGAGACGTATGCAATAAGAAATAAGCTTGTCTAACTAGGCACAATAGAAGGTCTAGCAGGAAAATAACACTAATTTTGTCGACATTTCTGATATTTTCTTGCAAATTTTCGTATTA